CAGGCCTTGACCACGTGAATGACGGAGAAGCATTATCCCCTGAATGTACTCAGATGACATTCTTTGAGACGACCCACCCTTGGTCTTCTATGTTACGGAAAATGTTACAAATATGTGGCAAAGAAAATCTACATAAACTCGTAGAGAACTGTTGGAGGTGAGTATCAAGAAAATGAAAAAACAAACAAATAACAAAACATAACATTGTGACTTTGGAAACAGGTATCACAAAGTGAAATGAGATTTATAAATGCAGTTTTAGAAACTGCATTTATAAATCTAATTACACTTTCTCATGTATTTTTGCTAAGAGAAGTCCTATGGGACTCTGAGAAGTTAAACTCACACATCTTCATTGTGTTTTATTCTGGGCATACAGGAACATGCGTATTTACAAGTGTGTGTTGTTTACTTTTCCCAGAAGTCAAACAGTACATGAGCTGTGTGAAGGGATTGAAAACAGTCACCCTGGGAATATGTGCATCAGATTTCCAAGTTATTCCTGCAACCGTGTCGACATAAACCTGTTGAGGAGTGACCTTGGTGACAGCGGCCATGAATGTAAGAAATGTGGCAGCGATTTCTGTACCTTCTCTTCATTTTGGATCCATGTGGTAGATGAACATGAACCTACAGAATGTGCTGACACCTATAGGAATCCTTTCCCTTTAGTTTCCAAAGAAGAGTTTAGTTTTCTGGAAAGGCTTTATGAGTGCATTGAAAATGGGAAACCCTTTTCTTCTTCGGCCTCCCTTACTAGTACTTCAGACAGCACAGTAAGGGAAAAAACTGACAGTGTAGAGACGTCTTATAATTGTAAGGTATGTGGAAAATCTTTGCGTTCTTTGTCATACCTAAGAAAACATGCAAGAACACATACAGACGGGAAACCTTATGAGTGTCACCGGTGTGGGAAAACCTTTCCTCGGCTTTCTCTTTTAACTCTCCATGCCAAAATTCACTCAGGAGAGAGACCTTTTCAGTGTATGGAAGGTGAGAGAACCTTTTCTCAGTCGGATCACCTCGTTAAACAAAGAGGAATGCACACAAGAGAGAGACAGTATGAGTGTAAGGAATGTGGGACAGTATTTTTAAACTCCAGTCACCTCATTAGACATAGAAGAATTCACGGAGGACAGAGCCCTCATGAATGCAAGCAATGTTTGAAGACCTTTTTTCACTTGTCTCATCTTAGAAGACACAGAAGAACGCACACAGGAGAGAAGCCTCACGAATGTGAAGAATGTGGGACACCATTCCCACGGTTAGCTGATCTGAAGGAACACAGAAAAATTCACACAGGAGAGAGACCTTATCAAGGTGCAGACTGTGGGAAAACATTTCCACAATCAAGTCAGCTCAGTGCACATAGAAGAATTCACACAGGAGAGAGACCTTACGAATGTCAGGACTGTGGGAAAACATTTTC